GGGTGTGGGCGCCCGCACCTGCGCCCCGGGCTCGTAGTCGCGCCCAGCCGCCACCACGAATGCGTCTCTGAAGTAGTCATAGGACACCTCGGCCTGCCAGCGGCACGGAAGGTGAAGGGGCAGGCGGGGCGATTAGGGGGTCAGCAGGCAGGCGGGGTGCATCAGGGCTGCCCGAGCTACTTGGATCTCGTGACTATTCTTTGCTGATCAGTGGCGCCGCAAAACGCGGGGTGCGCGAGAAAGGACGCACTGCCGGCGCAGCCTCGGCTGGCCCTAGCGGCCTCCGCCGCACCAAGCCCCCGCACCGCCCCGCTCTGCCGCGCCCCCGCCCACCGTCCCGCTGCTGGAGTGGTTCGCCAGGTCGATGACGGGGCACATCGCGTACTGCCGCAGCTTCTGGCTCAGGATGACCTCGTACAAGATGTTGAACACAAACACGGCCACGGCCGCGCCCGCAGACTTTTCAATGCCGTCCGGCCCCTGCAGCAGCACGTTGCCAACCCCAAGAAAGGCCACCAGCCCTGCCAGCCGCAGGCGGTCCTGCAGCGTGCTCGCAACATAGGGCCCGCTGAACGTGCGGCTGCGCACGGCCGCGAGCGCCCAGAAGAAGTCGGCGCGCGACGGCGGCGCCGCGCCGGGCGCGGCCGAGGCGGCGGCGCTGGCGTGGAGCGCGGCCCACTCCTGCTGCTGCTGCGCGACCTGCGCAGAGGCGTGCCCACGGTGCGAGAGGGAGAGCGGCAGGGCGCGGCCGGCGCGGCGTTGCGGGGCGGCGGGTGCTGGGGCTGCCGCGGGGACGGAGGGTGCGCTCCGACACGCTGCGACGCGGCGCGGCGCGGTCACGCACGAGCGCGAGGTGCTGGTAAGCGGCCCCGATCCCTGCCGTCCGGCCCCCACCGGACTCGCCGTGCTCGCCCCTTCACAGGCCACCATGCCCCACTCGCCTCCTCTCCGTGCCATGCGCGCGTGCGCCCCGCACGCCATGCGGCACCGCCCCCTCACCTTCTGAATCAGGTAGGGGTACTGCAGCTGCTGCAGCCGCTCGTCACTCCACGTCACCGGGGTGTCGAGGTCCTTGGGAAGCTGCTGGAGGTACCGCTGCAGCCGCGAGGCGCCGCCCTTTGCTCGCTCAGCCAGCAGGCGGACCCCCAGCCGAGCAAACCAGGGCGCCGCGTCCCAGAATTCCGCTGTCACATACTCGGGGCAGGGGCAGCGCTGGCGCGGCGGCAGCGTGAGCGCTGCGGCGCGGGGGACGGATAGTATGAGGTCGTCGGTTTTTATGGGCGCCGCCGCCGCAAGGCCGCGCAGGCCGCCGTACGCGGCAGGCCGCAGGCGGTCAAATGCGACGCCCGCTGCTTTGGCCCAATCCAGGAAGGCAGTCGTGACGGCGTCCTGGATGTAGACGGGGGGCTGTTGTGGCTGCTGCTTGGCGGGGGCCGCCTCGGTGGCCGGGGCGGGGGCGTCCTTTGTGGCCGGCCGCGGCGGCAGGCGGGTGCGAGGCGCGCCGCGAGCGGGCCGGGCGGCGCGCCCGCTCGGGCAGCCGCCGCGGCGCGCGTGGAGCCCCTGATGCTGGTGCATTGGGACCGATTATGCCTTGGATATACTCTTAGGTCCACTCGCCGCCTTGTCCTAATGGGTCGAGCTCGAAATTGAGTTGATGTCGAGATCCGCAGTGTTACTGTACAATTCTGTTATCTTACGAGTTCAGTGGCTCTTCTAGAACGTACATACAGCTGCACAAGGTCAAAGGCCCTCGATGGCACCTAGGTGTGACATTACGGGGCCAGCCAATCGCGCCATGTGGGTCGTAGACCCCGTCGTATCACGTATTTAGACGTAAGTCTCACGCCACACTGCACCCAGTGGAAGTTCCCCAAGCGAACGTCCGCAACACAGCCCCCACCCCCGTTCACAGCTCATGCTGAAAACAACTGCCTCAGCCCTCATTGTCCGAGGCAGCCCGCCTGACGCGCTGACTGCCGGATTCTCATCACGCACAAGTGCCCAATTTTTGATTACACAGGCGTGTCACTGAGGCCATGGATCCTCCACCACGGAGGAGTCACGCACTTGCCAGACAAAGTCAATGCGGTCAAACACCATCCACACCAAACGCGCGCTCGCTCACCGCACCACGCTCACACACGCGTCGCTCTCAAAACTCGACCTGCGCCAGCCCGGTCAGTGGCGACAGCGCCAGGATTCCCTCCACCCCCAGCCCGCACCCCGCGACATCAAGGATGGACAGGCTCCGCAGCCGCGACAGCCCAGTCATGCCGCCGCCAGTCACCAGGGGGCAACCCCTGAGCTCCAGCGACGTGAGCGACGTGAGATACCCGACGTGAGCAACACCCGCGTCGCTCACGCGCGGGGTGGGCCCGAGGCGCAGCCGCAGCAGGGAGGCGTGAAGGGGGGTGAGCTGCGAGAGGCCGCGGTCAGTGAAGCGCGGGCAGTTGCGGGCGTGGAGGGCGGCGAGCGCGGTCAGGCTTGCGCCCACCACCTGCAGCGCGGCGTCGCCCAGGCGGCCGCAGCCGCTGATGTCAAGACCTGCGTAGGGTGGGGGCCGCGGGGGCGACTGATTGTCGGCTGCTCGCGGCGAGAGATGAGGGGCAGCTGCGGCAACAGCAAAACGTGCTTCCTGGATTGGGGCGTCATGCATGGACGGGCAGTCAAATCTCCACGTTGCCGTGGCACACCCTGCCCTGCGTATGCCTTGCAGATGGGTGGTGGCGAACGCAGCCCCGTCCAACGCCCCACGCACTCGAGAGCCTTGTGAGGAGCCTCAGATGGAACACACACCCATCGTCGAGAGCGGAACAATAAGTGAGGTCGAGCCGCCGCAGCGAAGCCGCCAGCTGCCCGGCCGCCCGCGCGCCCGCGGCGGCGAAGCAGAAGCAATGATTAATCCGCAGGGTCTCGAGCGCCCCAAGCCGCGCGAGCGGCGCCAGGCCAGCGCCGGTCAGCGTGGGGCCGTTCGGGACGAGGGCCGCCTGCAAAGCACGGCCAAAGATCTCGAGGCGCAGCAGGCGAGGCAGCAACTCCAAATGGGACAGGTGGGCGTCTGTCACGGCCTCGAATACGCTCGCATGGACCACTAAGGACGTAAGGCCGCTCAGCGTGCCAAACGGGAGCAGCAGGGCCGCCGCGCCGCTCAGGGGGTGCCCGAGCTCGAGACGCTCCAGGCGGCTCAGCAAGCGCAGGTTCTGTAGGATCCCCTCCGCCCGCCCGCGCAGCTGCCAAGGCACTGCGCCGCCGTCAATATAAGCAGTCAGCGACAGCGCGCGCAGGCGGGACCGGGCCGCGGCGGCGGCGAGGACGTCCCACGCCGCGTCCTGCTGATCCAGCGGGGCGCCGTTGTGCAAGCCGAAATGGAGGTCCAGCACCTGTATGTTGGGCAGGGCGCCGAGCTGGCGCTGCGCGCCGGGCGACGCGAGCCAGGGCCCGCGCGCAGTCAGCGCGGTCAGCGCCGCGCAGGCGCCGAGCCAGCGAAGGTCGGCCCACGAGTGGGGCCAGCCGAGCGACGAGAGGCTGAGGGAGCGAAGGCTCCCGGGCAGCGGCCGCTCGCCCCAACGCCAGCAGGCAGTGGCGGCGCCGGCTGCGTCGTCGGCGGCGGCGGCGGCAGGGGCGGCGTGGGCGTGCGCGTCGGCATGGGCGTCAGCCGGCAGGGCTGTGAGAACGCAGCGCAGCTCAAGGTGTGTCAGGCGCGTCATCTGGGATAGGGAGTCTTTCGTAGGCAGCGACGACACACACGTGTACAGGGCCTGCCGCGCCGAGGGGTGGGTCGAAAGGGCAACGTGAGGGCTGCCGCGAGGCGGCAAGGAGCGGGGCGGATTGTCTCACAATACAGGACGCCGGCAAACGAGTCAAGCGGAGCCAAAAAGATAAAGAGCCGCCAGGCAACTAGTCAAGCGCAAATGGGAAACCCGAGCCCAGGGCCCACCTCCAAATGATCCAGCGGCAGGAGGGCGTCGAGGAGGGCGTCAGCCCCGGGCGCGACGTCTGCCGGCATCGCCACCGCCAGCCGCCGCAGCCCCGGCAGCCACTGGGCGACCCCGGCCACGCCAGCCGCGGCCGCCTGGCGGTCGCGTGGGCCCGGCTGGCCGCGGCCCAGGGCGCAGCTGCCCAGCGAGAGGCAAGTGAGAAGAGTCAGAGCGCTCAGCGGCCGCAGGACATTCGGGTCAAAGCTGTGGGCGGCGGCAGCGCCGCCGCCACCGCCGCCTCCGCCGCCGCCTTGGTCGTGCGCGATGAGGCGCCGCAGGGTCGTCAGGTGCTGCAGGCTGGCCAGGCAGCCGGGGTCGCCGCCGAGCGGGGCCGGCTGCACCAGCAGGCAGCCGCTCACGTCCAGGTCAGCCAGCGGCAGCGGCGCCAGGGCGCGCAGGCCCAGGCTGGTGATCTGGAACGCGTGAGCCGGCAATCAAAACGAGCGAGGCAACCCATGAGAGTGCAAGATTGCTTGGGCGGCCGCAAGCTGATGGGGTCCACGCGCCCGGATTGGTGAGTGAACTAGAGCTCGTGTGACTCATCACAGAACGAGGCATGACACGCCGCAACACCGAGTGTCGAGCGGGCCGTGCGAAAAAACCCCGCAAACGCAATGCAACGAATCCATGAGGAGACGGCTTCGAGCGACCCACCCGCGGGCACCCCGCCGCGTCCAGGCGCGTGAGCCCCGCCAGCTGTGCCACCGCGATCAGCCCCGCGTCGGACACGCTGGCGCAGCGCCGCAGCCGCAGCTCCCGCAGCGTCGCCAGCCGCGCCAGCGCGATCAGGCCGCCGTCGCTGACGAGGACGCACCCGCCCAGGTCCAGGGACCGCAGCCGAGACAAGCCCGCGCCAGGTGGCGCGGCGGCCCGCTGCATTGCTGAGAGCGCGAGGCCGGCCAAGGCGTCGTCTGTGATGTGGGAGAACCCCTCCGACGCGTCAGCCGCCGCCGCGTCCCCGCCCGTCGGCACGTCGTCCTCCCAACGCCCCGGGCCGGCGCCGGCGCCAGTGGCGGGCAGCAGCGGGGAGCAGCCGAGGCGCAGGTCAGCCAGGCGGTGCAGGCGCGACAGGTCGGCGACGAGCGCGGGGTCGAGCCGCCCTGCTGCGGGGGCGCCGCCGGCGCCGGCGCAGCAGCAGCGCGACAGGTCCAGGACGGTCAGGTTTGGGAAGGCGGAGGAGAGGGGCCCCGGGAGCAGTGCGCGCGGCGCGAGGTGCTCCGCCGTGCGCTGGGCTGAGGCGCGCCAGGAGCGGCTCACGCCGCGGATCGACCTGCGCAGTGAGTGCTGTGCGTGAGTGCGAATGACGGCGGTGCTCGGCACCACCTGCAGGCCTTTGAAGCCACGTTGGCTGGTGCTTGGATACGGCACGTTTCAAAATACGCACCGTGCGGTTTGAAGGCCAGCCTTCTCCATCACAGCCGCGAACACAGAGTCCGGCAAATCGTGCCACGGGGGCGCACCGCCGCTGCCTGCAACCGTGCGCCGTCCGTCCACCGCGAGCCGGCCCCAGCGCGCTTTGAGCTTAAACAGAAACCAGGTTATCGTCGCCACGATCAGTGAAGCTGTGGCGAGCCAGACGGGCAGAATCAAAATCATCGAGATCATCCGGCAGCCGCATCATAGCGTCGTGTAGCCTGTTTGAAAATGTGTAAGAATACAGGTGGATAGGACTTGATATCGAGCAACATAGCGGCGTGCCTGATTGCTCTCCAGGTTGAAACCCCTGCGCGCCGTGTCATTCATCGGCCATCTCGAGTTGGAGGACTGGAGCACAAAGCAGCTTGAAAGTCTGTGCCCAGCAACAGAGAACGTTGATCACAGCAAGATGTTTCAACAGCGGAGCAGCAACAATGCTTTGTACATGGCAATGTTTCCAGGACCCTCCATCTCTTTCCCCACCATCGACATGCGGTACCAAGCTCCGATTTGTGCAGTATTGGCGATCGTCTGAGGCCACACACTCCTGCAATCCACAGCATCACCCTCGCTTCAATCGCCGTACACTTTGGCGCCCTGCCAATAGCAACGACCTTAAATGGGTTGCCCCTCCGACTGCCCCTGCGAGCCACTGCAGGACAGCGCCTGCCCGCTGCACTGCCTCTGTCGACGTCCCGTCTACTGTATGAGTTGTTTGGTGCATGCCCTTGCACAGCGAAAGACTCTGCCTATGCTTTTAGTGACAGGACTGCAGTTGGGGCTGGATGCGCAAGAGTGGCTTTCAAGCGGCCGTCGATGAGTCACGCAGTTCTCCCCCAGGGGCACCTCGCGCCATTCTGTACGTCCGGTGAAGGGTTATAGAAAGTGTTCCTCCCTCAAAGCCGTACACAGCAGCAGTGTCGGACATGACGCCTTCCAAGGCGCGGCAGCATGAGCTGTCCCTCTGGATGGAATGTCCATCCAGCCTGGCACGGCAGCTCGAGCCCAGCTGTTCATCGCACAAAATTTGATTCCAGTTGTCGCTACCGGTTGCGAGCTCGCCCGAGTCCTCAACACTTTTTTCGTATTGCTCATACGATTGCGCTGGAACCGCTCGCATACCGGTAGTCTACTTGAGGCTCTGACAGCGAAAAATAGCCCTGCTTGCGCGGTTCACCCGCATACAGACAGAACACGAACAGTTGGGAAACCATTATCATAAATCCTTGTTGCAGCCCGCAGCCATGGCGCTGCGCCGCGCCAGCACCGCTGCAGCAGCCCAATCAGCGCGCCAGGCGGTGCCGCTGCTGCTCGCGCTGCTGGCGCTGCTGACCGGGTGCTGCGGCGAGGCGGCGTTTGGCGCCGCAACGGGGGCTGGTCCTGAGGAGCTCATGGGCCCATCAAGGCGGCTGGCTGCGACGCACAGCGGACATGGCGCCCCCGCTCCGCCCTTCTACCCCCCGGACGCCGAGCAGATCGCCATGTACATCGTGATCGCAGTCGCGCTAATAATAGCCGCCAGCGGCGGCGTGGGCGGTGAGCGGGAACCCGGGGCTTCATCCCGTGCGTGAGTAAGCCTTGCAGGACGCCCGCTTTGACCGCCCGCCGCTGGGGCGCCGCTTTTGTTCACACCTGAACAACTGGCTGCTGGCGGGATGACCAGCACCCCATCCGCTCTGTCCGAGCCGCCGTTCAAACGTGGCGCCGCTGCTCGTCCCCGCTCTCCCCGCAGGCGGCCCCATCTTGGTGCCGGTGTACCTGCTACTGGGCCGTTTCAGCAACACCACGGCGGTGGCGCTGTCCAACGCGTCCATCTTCGCGGCTTCTGTCGCCAACGTGCTGCTGGTTGTGCCGCGCAGGAGGTGCGGGCGGCGCGCCAATCTGCAGCGCAACGCGCAAGCACGTGCTCTGTCCCTCCCGAGCGTCGACTGATGCGCCGCGCGCCGCGGCGCCGTGCGCGCTTGCTTTTTGGATGCCGGGGGCGCCCTCCTCATGCAGGGCGTTTCCCGGTAGACCACCACGAAGCGGCGCGGCCCCCGCCCCAAATGCACGCAGGCGTGCAGCTCGATCAGTCGCAGCCTGTAGCTCTCAACCCCCCGCACCCGGCGCAAAACCCTGAACCCTGCCCAGGCATCCCTCCAAGGACCGACCCCTGGTGGCGTGGGACCTCATCATGCTGCTGCAGCCGCCCACCGCCATCGGCGCGATGTGGTGCGCACCCCGCCCCCAGCAAGCAAATTAACCGCCGTGCGGCAGTGCGACGCCCTGAACGCAGCGCTTCCCCCAACAGCCGCGCCGGCTTGAGGCAGAGAGATGACCTGCCTCTCTTCCCTTCTTGCTGCGATGGCTGCGCAGGGGCGCCTATGTGAACAAGGTGGTGCCCGTGTGGATTGCGCAGGTTCTGCTGGCCCTCATGCTGACATTCATGTCTTGGCGCATCACAAACAGGTGGGTGCGGCGTGCATGTGCCCACGCACAGGGAGGGTGGGGGGGAATCGGGGCGCAAAGCGTGGGTGCGAGCAACTGGAGGCCAGTCCGGTGGCGCCGCTCTGATGCCTATCGGAGGTGCGGCCTTGCCGCATGGCAGGGGCGCGGCAGGCCGCGCCAACCCGTGGGGATCAAAGGCGGGTTTGTCATGACGCCGAGCGCCAGCAGCCCCACCCCAGGATTCGACAGAGCAGCGGCCTCGCTGCTTGCGGGCTGCTTGCCCGGCTGGTGGCCCGCCTGACGCGCCCCTCCCCTGCACTTGACGACAGGGCGATGTTCATCTTCAAAAAGGAGTCCGCCGCGCAGGCTGCGGCTGGCGGCGCGCCGGCGGTCGCTGAGGGTGGGGCCCGCAAGGGCAAGGGCGGCAGGGCCGGCCGGCACAAGGACAGCGGCAAGGGTAAGGGGCATGACAAGGATGCTGGTCTCGGGGAGGAGGTGCAGAAAGGGAAGCAGCAGCAGCCGCCGCCGCCGCCGCCGCAGCAGCAGCAGCAGCAGCAGCAGCAGCAGCCGGAGCAGCAGGAGCAGCCGCCAAAGCAGCGGAAAGAGCAGGAGCACAAGCAAGAGCAGGAGCAGGCGCAGCCGCAGGAGAAGGCAGAGGAACAGGAAGATCAGCAGCAGGTGCTCGAGCAGCAGATGAAGGAGCAGGCAGGGGCACCTGCCGGCACCAAGACCGCCGCCTCTTTGGTTGACCCAAAGCGCTCAGAGGCCGCCGGGGGCGGCGCCGCCGCCAGCCGCCCAGTCAGCCGGAGCACATCAGAGGGCGACGCCACCGCGACCATCGTCGCAGCCGCGGCGAGCGGCGACAGCGGCGGCACCGGCAGCGAGAGCTGCAGCGACAGCGAGGGCGAGAGCGAGGGCGAAGGCGCGGGCAGCAGGCCTGCCGGGGCGGGCGCCGCGCCCGCCGTCCCAGTGGAGACGGCAGGGCTTGGCCTGAGGCAGTGGGCGTCGCGCGACCTTCCAACCCTCGAAATCGATATTGTCACGGCGGGCAGCGGCCTCTGGAGCATGTGCGAGGCCATGCCGGCCGTGGCGGGGGACGAGGGCGACGCGCACGCACCCGGCGCGCGCCAGGCCGCGGCCGACGCGTCCCCGCGGCCGTCGACCCCTCCGCCCACGCCGCCGCCGCCGCCGTCCGAGGCGGAGAGCCGGCTCGCGTACGCGCCGCCCGAGGAGCGCCCCGAGGGCGACTGCGACCCGGACGTCGGCGGCGGCGCGGTGCGCGGCGTGCCCGTCGGCGGCCCGACCAGCGCCGGCGAGGGCGGCGCTGCAGGCGCCGCCGAGGGCGCGGGCGCGCCGCTGCCGGCGCCGGAGGTTGCTGAGGAACGGCTGGCGTCGGATCTTCGGCGCGTGCTGAAGGGGGAGGCGCGACAGGTCCCGCCGTGGCACGCGGCGGGGCTGCTGCTGATGTGCGGGACGCTGCTGGTGACGACGCTATTCAGCAAGCTGCAGCCGTGTGGCGGCGCACGGTTCTGGGGGATCCAGGCGGCGGCGGTGCCGGTGCTGCTGGGGCTGGCGGTGGCGGCGCGGCGGTACGTGCTGCGCAAGGCGCGGGTCAAGAAGGCCGCGCAGGTGGGAGTGGGGGGTGTTGTGGTCGCGCAGGCGTGGTGCTGGCGTGAGCACGCACGCACTCGTGTGTGACTGGAGGGGGCGTGCGGGGCCGGGGGAGTGGTACGCGTGGGCCAGCAGACATTGGGATGCGGGTGCAGCGGTGCGTCCAGCCGCGCAGGTCGGCCTTCTTTTGATCCCCCGACTCTCATGCCGACCTGTGGCGCCGGTCCTTTGTGCTGACCTGGGCGGCCGCGGTCCCGATGGCACGCTGGCATCACTGACGCGCACGCGCGCCCGGGGCCACCTGTAGGTGGACTGGACCGGGGAGATCAAGTGGACGCGGCGCAACACGGTGCTGTTCCCGGCCATATCCGTCATGGCCGGCGTCATCGCGGTGAGTGCAGCAGCACGGGTGACGCACTGGCGCCCCCCTCGCGCGCGGCTTTCGTCCGCACTCCTGGCGAACCTGCCAGATCGCCAGATCGCATGCCGCCGGCGTCGCTGGTCTAGGCCGATGCCGCCACGACCCCCACTGCCCAGATTCTTGCGTCAAAGTGAAGTGCATGTGATCGTCAACCCCGCTCGCTCGTCTCGCCCTCCCTCCTCCCTTTGCGGCGACCAGGGCGTGTTTGGCCTCGGTGGTGGCATCGTGTTCACACCCCTTATGGTGAAGACCCACGCCGAGCGTGCCGCCCAGCGCCTCGCAGCGCGCTGCCTCGGGGCAACCGCCTGAGACGGGGGCTGCCCCTGAATGCTCGCCGCCACTCCGCCGCAGCCCTTTGTTTGTGCTCACATCCCCACTTTTCATCACACCAATGCGCTCTCTCGCTGGGCTTTGCTCTGCTTCCTGCCTGCAGCTGGAGCTGGGCACCCACCCGCAGGTCACAGCAGCCACCACGCAGACCATGCTCCTCTTCACCACCGGCGCAACCACCGTCGTCTTTGCACAGGTGCTCAGGCAGCCCCCCCCCCCCCAGCCATCTGCCAAAGCGGCTGCGCGCTCCTCAGGGTTTTGGGGCGCCCGCGGGCACGCCTGCTTGTCGCCGCGCGCTGTCGGCCCCCATGACGCCACTGGTTCCCACCCCCCATAGTACATCGGCGCCTGCGCAGCGGCTGGCTGCCTGAGCCGCCCACCGTGCGGCTGTGCGAGCCCTGTGTCCACAGCCGCCGTGCTCCCTGCCTCTGTGTCCACTGGAAAGCCAGCAATGACTAAACCTGCACCCCACCCCTTACCGCCCCCCCCCCCAAAATACGCCCCAAAGATGGGTGACATCCCTTGGGACTTTGCCGGCGTCATCATGGGCATCGCATTTGTCAGGTGACGCGCGGGCTGCTGCCTGGGCCGGGCCTGTCGCGGGCGCGCGGCTCCCAAGTGCTCTGTTGCGCGATGCCTGCGAACGCCATGCCCTTGGGCGTGCTGCGCCATCCCTGCGCGGCTGCTCTTCCAGCGACAAGGCCGATGGCGTGCGCCAGCGGCACACCCGCAACCAGTGGCTGCTGCGCCCCTTGCGCACCCGACAACCCCTGATCTCTCCAACCGCCAGCCCCGCTGAACCACCCTCCCTCGCTCCTCCCCCTCACCCCTACAGCACCCTGTTTGGTCAGGTCGCGATCGACGCCCTCATCCGCCGCACCGGCCGCGGCTCTGTCGTCGTCATCGTGCTGGCCGCCTTCTTCACGTGCGCCTGCCTGCTCGCCTGCTACGTCGCCGCCCGCAGCGTCGTCGCGTTCGCGACGAGCGCAGACCACTCGATCCGGGCGCCTGGCGTGTGCTGACGAGCAACCTGGGGCGGGCGAGCTGCGCTGTCGCCGCCCTGCGGCGGCGCGGGGGCGCGGCGGGGCCGCGGCAGCGGCGGCCGCGAGAGTGCGTGCGTGCCAGCCCAGGGCTGTGTGCGGGGAGCACGCGGGCAGCCGAGCCTGGGCGCCTCTTGAGGCGGTGCATGCGAAAGCACGGTGGCCCGCGCCTGCATCATTGGGTTTGGCGCTGCACTTGACGCAAGCCTTGGTCTGTCGGCGATCATCACTGCCAAGGGAGGCGCGTGGACATTGCATGGCCGAGCCAGGATTATCCTCGGCATATTCGCGCTTCGGGGGTGAGCGAACAGGCCCCCGGCCGTGCCAGGCCCGCGCCTGCGAGCGGAGGCCGCACGCTGGCACCGCCATCCCTGATGTGGCCAGCAGCCACCCAGCCCCCATTGCCGGCTGGGTGCATGCCTTCCGTGGATTGCTTTCTTGACTATGGCCACACGTGCAGCGCACTCCTGGCAACCCCATGATTCAACCCGGGGGTCTGGCAGCACGCGCGCTTTTCACAGTGTTTGAGTGGGATGCGACGAGAACAGATACTCGCTGGGGCGCCAGCACGTGCGCTGCCGGCTGCGCCCATGCATCTGAAGCCACCTTGGAGCCTGGCGGCCGCCGCAACGCGGTCGCCTCTGTCGTTCTCGTTTGATCTGGGCCTTCCTTGCACCTTTGTCGCCGCTGGATCTATCAACACACGTCCGCCAACTGGCCCCTCGATTCGGCTCTGCAAGGCCACTTGCACGCGCACATGCATGCGCCCTCTCCCCCCACCCCAAAAAAGCAAGATGCCCTCGCGTGTCATCGCTGCGGGGTCGCCACCTCAGCCGCGACCCCTTCAACATTGCGCGCTGAGCCCCGAGCGCCTCATAGTTGGTCCAGGCCCGTAGGCTTGCAATAATTGTCTGGTGCTGGCCATATCCCTTGCCCACTGCATGCATCAGTAAGGCTCAGCATGTTTGTGGTTTAGCAAAGGTTGTCGGGACTCATGCATGTCTGAAAAGCCTGGTGGCAACCCGCTGCAATGCCTATTATGTCAGAGATGCCTGGATCCGGTGCGGATCTGATCGGAGTCTGCGAGCGACGTGTCGCGCGTTCACGTGGCAAGGGGCATAAGCTGCGTCTTCAGCCGCTTTGGGGAGAGGGGGGTGCCCGCGCGTCTGCCGCCATGTCGGCTTTGCGACAGCAGACCAGGCGTTACACTTGTCAAAGGGGTGCGATCAGATGGGACCTGCCAGCCTTCTCACACCACGGCTCAAAAATCCGAAAACAGATTGACACCATAACACAATAGGGAGTTGCTTCAGGTGGCGTGGACCCGCCGCCGCCAACCCGCATGCACTACACGTTCCACTGGATACGCCTGAACTGAATCACCCTCTCACGGCGCTGCCTGGTGCGCTCGGCTTTTTAATTGGTATGGCAGCAAGCTCGGTGCAAGTTTGCAAAAGAACACAACTGCAGCAATTTTGCTCTGAACAACACGGCGCCGCTCAGCTTGTGCGGGCCGGGGGAATGCGCTGGGACGACACGCCCCCCAAATCAGGCGGCAGCGCGGGCAAAGCATGGTGCGGCCCCGCCCCTCGACAACTCTCACAGGCGCTGCAGAGCAGCTCCAACATCCGAACAAAGGCTGCTCTTCTCGCTCAGTCCCTCAGCACCTCTCGTGCTCCACCCGCTCGACCAACTCGGTCCAAGAGAATGGACACTCCCTCTCTCTTGGGCACCAAAAAAGCAACTCACTTGAGCCGCAGCACGACGACGGTGACGTCATCGGTCGACCCGACCTTCTGCGCCGTCTTGCTCATCGTCTCGGCGAGCGCGCTGCAGCTGCTGGCGCCGGCGGCGCCGCAGAGCTCCGCGACGGTCGCGTTGTCCAGGCCGCCGCCGCCGCCGCGCGCCTCCTCGGCGAAGAGGCCGTCGGAGGCGATGACGATGTGGGTGTCGTCGTCTGGGGGTGGTTGGAGGGAGAGGGGCGGTGGAGGGTTGCGCCGACGACGTGCGGAGAAACCCCACCAAAACGGGTGCACCTGCGCGCCGGAAGCGCCTCTTGAACCCCGTGAACAACGCCACTGTTCGATGCAGCGGCGGTAATGGGCGCAACCGACCAACACTCTCGCAGTCACGACCCCTGCCATCCCCTATGCGAGCCGTCATCGTTGGTTCAAAATGACGTTGACGGGTCAAACCCTAGTGCACCCACCGGTGAGCTCGAGGTCCACGGTGTAGGGGTAGGCGATGACGCCAAAGCCGCTGGAGTAGTTGTCGCCGCCGGCGTTGATGCCCTCAAACTGCAGGGAGCCTGCCAAGACAGGGAGGCGGGCGGCAACGGCTGAAGACAAGGAAGGCGGCAGCTGGGTGCAAGGGCCCAGGCATGAAATTGCTCGAGGGACTGTGGATGAGATTGGGGGCAGCAGCGCACCTGCAGAGCCCGAAGCGCAACCAACGCAAAACCCCAGCGGACGGGGCGGTTGGCAACAGAGTGAGGGCGCTTGCTGCGCGGGGCTTGTTGGGGGCCCGTGGGCGCCCGCCGTGCCTGCGCCGCGCTCACCCTTGAGGTAGGCGTCGCCAAAGGCGCGGGAGAGCGCCAGCAGGCCGCCCACGCGCCAGGTGCCGCCGACGTACCTCACCTGGCAGTGGCAGGCAGGTGCGGGGCGGCCCGGGGAAGGTGGCGGGAGTTAGGCGCCAGCAAGGGACAGAGAGCGAACGGCGGGCGGGCGCTGCGACACCCGCTCCGGAGGCGCCAACCGAGGGCCGTGGAAGGGCACGGCGGCAAGCTGGGCACGCAAGCCCGCGCGGCCGCCTGACCGCCTGCCGTCGGGGTTCAACGTCTCAAGGGGTCCTCCGCCGGCCCCTCTCACCATGGGGTTCTTGGGATTGGGGTTCTGCGCCTCGATGCGCTTGCGCTCAGACTCCCTGCGGCGGCACAGGCGCAGCAGGAGTGCGGACCGGGCGTGAGCTGCAGTCACTGCACAATCCACGGTGAAGCACGCCCGGGCGGCTCGGGCCGTGCCAAGGATTGCCCATGGCGAGCCTGCCGCACTCTCGCCCACTCTCGAGTGTGGGCCTCACCACCCCTTGACCGCACCAGGCGCAGCTGCCCAACGCCCCAGGCATAGGCAGCCCTGCGCATAACGTGGTACCCAAGCAGCAGCGGCCGCAGCTGCGGCCTCGGCCGCGGCCGCAGCTGCAGCCGTGGCCGCAGCCGCAGCCGTGGCCGAAGCCACACACTCCCCCCCCCCCACTCCCTTTCCCCTCTTCCCCCTCCCCCACCCCTTCCCATTATCCGCCCGCCCACTTGTCAGGGACGTGCTCCTCTGACAGGTCGATCGCCTCGCCCCCGCGGATCAGCAGGGTGCGCGCGTCGCCGACGTTGGAGGCCAGCAGCCGCAGCGCGCCGCCGCCGGGGGCCCTGTACAGCAGCACGTTGGCCGCGGTCGCGCCGCACTTGCTGCCGCCTACGCCGCGCTCGCCTGCACGGGTGGGGCGGGGGGGTCTCCGTTGGGGAGCGCGGACCGCGGAAGGTGGTGCCATTGCCGCAAAGGCGCCTGCCCTCGTGCTCGCTGGCCCCGACCCTCAGTGTATTTCACGCACTCGGTGCCCGAGCCGCCACCCGAGCCCGCTACGCGGCGAAAAGCGCCACCCAGCTATGGCACAAGCGCCCCCAAGTCACGGCGGTATTGCCCCCGCCAGGCGGCAGCGCCCACCCATGCCCAGGAAGCCGCCCTTGGACGACAGCAGCTGCTTATCGGCCGCGATGTAGGCGGCGGCCACGGACGCCTCCGGCTTGGCCGGGTCCCAGGCGCCCTTGACGCCGTCATAGAGGTTGGCCTCCAGCCAGGAGGCGACAGCGGAGCCGCCGTGGCCGTCGTAGACGCCGGCGAACGCAACGGGCTGGCCGGGCGCAGCAGAGGCCGCGTCGGAGACCTGCGGCGCGGGGCGCGTAGGCGGCGCCGCGGGGGCGGTGGTCGACGAGGAGATTGTGGGTTTGGTGGGGGCTCGCTGCCTCTGCAGCCGGGGCTGCAGATCGCCAGCCGCGTGCAGCGGGCGCCTTGCACGCGCAGACGTGCGTGCAAGGTTCCAGCTGAGCTGGAGACGTGTGCGCTTGGGACCCCCGACACACATACGTAGACCCCGCTACAGGGTGCGGGGTTGCGCATCATTTGCATCGGGGTGGGCCTGGTCAGCTGCACGCGCCTGCGTGAAGAAGCGGTCCTCGTTCTGCTTGCGCACGGTGCCGCGCACGGTGAACGTGCCCACTTCTTTTACCCCGGTGGTGACGGCGGTGGTCTGCACGAGGGGCAGGCAGCATATGTGAGCTGAATGCGTGATTCTGGCACGGCGCGTGCATCGACCGTGCGCGCGCAATGGCGCCGCCGAGGCGGTCAGCGTTGCAGGCAATGCCGCAGCTCCCAACAAGTCGAATTGGTGATCAAAAGCGCATGCGGTGTGTTCCGACGGTGCCTGGAGGCGCCAGCCCCCGTCTGCCCGCGGGATGCTCTTACCGTCAACACCTCAGCGCTGGCCTTCACGCGCACAAAAGCCTTACGGCTGTGCAGAGGCGCCACATGCGCACCGCGACGGGCCAGAACGGAGCTGGTGCTCGCCATTGTCGCTGTACGAGGGGGAGGCCAAAATGCGCTGTTACCGTGCAGCGCGCTTGGCAATGTGAAAACTTTGAGGGTGTACAGTGCTTGTGATACGCCCGCTTGTTGTAGCCACGGCCTGTGCTGGACTGGATACTGTGCGCTGCTCCACTGGGTCCAATCCAGAGTCAGCAAAGCGTCATCAGGGTCTCAAGGCACAGCGATGTGGGCAGAGAGATGTTGCAACTCTTGAAACTCTAAACATAAGCAAGGCGCACGATCTATAACAAGGGGCGTTCATATGGCTGAGCATGGGCAACCACCCGGCGTCAGCAGTCACCTGACGCTCCCAGGTGTGGGCCCAACGATCGAAAGCACACGTGCCTGCGCTTGCGCAGCAGCCGGCCATGTGTAACAACCCTTACAGATGCATCAAACGGCTGGGTTCACATGTTCGCTTTGCTTTGCTTTGATACAATCGTCTAGGCCAGCTAGACTCCTCCCGCCACTGCGACCAACCGGTGCAAAACAGACAACAGGGGTTGAACACAAACTAGCCGCCCAGTCCTGACGGCAGCTGATTCAACACGAAAGCAATCCAAAACAACAAAGCTGCAGACATACAAGGAGTGCAATGAGGGCGCACAGCACACACCCAGGAGACATGCCTGGGTGTGTGCTGCCCACATTTTTCACACTAGCACATTCGCAGATCGATGCCGGGCTTTGGGTGCATGACACCAAAAAGGTAGCCCAGGCCGCTGAACCCCCTCGCACCCTATGCGGCGCACTCACAAGCCTTACAGACCTATGTGTGCCCCTATCGGCCCCCATTCGTCCCGCCCCGCCAGCGCTAGTCCCCCCCCTTCCGACCGCAACCTCAACACTGAAAGCAAGTTACTGCTCCCGCAGCACAAGGTGTTTGAGAAGTTCGTTTCGGCCGAGGCGCCTGGCCATGTCAACAGCACAGGCTGCAACCTTGGCGCTGCCGACGCACGGCGGCGGACCTCCAATGCCACACGCCTCGGCACACGCAGCCTCGGTCCCACCGTGTGGTGGCTTCTCAAACTTGTGACCAGGCGCTCAACCCGCAATTCAAACCTGCATAGCGTAGCTCATCAAGCAGTTGTTGCAGACGCAGGCTCGCGCGACGGCGGCAAGCCCATAGGTGGAAGCAGCAAACGCTTGCTGCCGCTTCCTGACAGCACGTCGCAGAATCACCACGCACAAGGCGCGGGTCAAGGCCCGCATCCGCAATTCAAGCCAAAGAGAGGGGCCAGTGGCAACTTCCACTTCGCAAAAGATGTGGTACGTAAGCTCTGTTGATGCGAGAGCCAATCAGCAAAATGAAATCGTACCGCATGTGGTCAAATTGTGTTGGATAGACATGGCGAGAGCTCACTCCTAGGTGGCCGGGGTGGCAGTGGCCCCTCCAGCAGCACCTGGCACAGCAGCGGCCAGGGTGGCAGCAGCGGCCGGGGCGGCGGCAGCAGCCGGAGCGACGGTGACAGCGGCTAGGGCGGCGCCCGCGGCTGCAGGGGCGCCGGCAGCTGCTGCCGGTGCGGCTGCGGCGGCGGCGGGGCGCGTGACTGCAGCTGGGGTGGGCTGCGAAAACGCCATGAGGCCGCCCGTGGGCATGCCCGACGCCGTGAAGCCGCCGCCGCCGCCGCCCGCGCCCGCCGCCGCCCCCTGGCCCATGGGGGCAAAGCCGGTCCCCTGGGGTGCGCTGCCCGCCCTGGCCATGTAGCTGGTGTGCAGGAACATGTCGTCGTCGCACTGCGTGGCGCCCTTGGGGCACTTGGAGCAGTAAGTGCTGGAGAAGCGCACGCCGGTGCCGGGCTGGCACACTGTGCGGGAGTGCGGCGAGGCGTGCAGACAAGGGAAGGGGTTCAGGGCGATCAAGGCTTGTGGGCCGTCGTGGGTTGGGTGCGGCGCACTGCTCCCCAGGGCTGCATCCCCCGAGCAGGGTTAAGCTGCAGCAATCCGTCCGCTGACGCTGCACAGCACAACGCAAGTCATTGTCCACTGAGCCCTTGTCGGGAGCAGTAAAAGGGCGCAGCGTGGACCTGGTGTTGCCTAGCGATCTTGGGCCGTCAGGGCGTGTGAACAGCCCAAAACCGAAAATGCTCCCCTTTGGGGTACTAGGCTCACCGCAGGCGCCGTTGAGCACGTACGCGCCCACAGGGCACGTTTGGACATGGGGATGGAAGAATTCATGCCTTTGCTTGCCCTGAGCCGCCGCTGTTATGGGTCGCGCATCAGCAGGGGGCGCCACGGCGCCCAGCGCGCCGGCGGTGTCATCGACCTGCATCAAGCCGCGGCCGGCAGCATGCGCGACACCGACAAGCACGGCTGCTGAGAGCAGCAGACGGACAAGGCGAGGGGCCATCTTGGCTGGTAGGAGGAGCTACAAGAGGAGGCAGAGACGGAGTGAATGGTTGTAGCGCAGGCTAATTTTGGCAGTGCCAAGAGATCAGAGGTGTTGCTAACACACAGACATATCCTGATCACAGTCATCGAGTTAGAGTATTGTTGTGGCGCCATACCCGCCATGGTCACCGCGCGAGTCTGAAACAACCGAAGCACGGAGCGGCTTGAAAAGTAACCTCCACCCAAACTTGGGCGTTTGCATCTAAAGCAGAAAACCGAGCATACGATGTCATTCACACGCATTCGTAGCCTTGAGACAGCTGCTTCTTGGCCACCGTTGCGCACGTCTGATACGGTATCCCCGGCAGTGCGCGGCCTGTGCGCTCGACCTGTCTCCAGCAGCACCGAATGCTCCGCTCGGATTCACCAAGGTTTGGGCGCTTGACCTGGAGCTGTTTCCCCATGCTACGCGTTGAGGGTCACACACCTGAGCCATACTTCAGGACCTAGCTGATTGTGCCCTATCATGCAAACAAGCACGCCGCCCTGCTGTTGAATGTGATGGGCGGTGAGCACTTGAGGGGTCTGGGCGAAAGTGTCGGCGGCAAGGCGCACCCGCAATGGCAAGGACGAGGCAGCGCGGGAACCAGAAACCGCTGATGTTGCGCGCACAGCCACGCGGGATCCGACTCTGCCCGCTCGAGGTCATAGCTGTGAGACTTGTGCGAGGCGACACCGCAAGGGCCAGCCCAAGGCCGTCACTTGAGGGCCCCTCTGCGCCAAGCGGGGGGCCCCAGGGTCCCTCAAACCGTTGGGGCAGCGGGGGAACGAGCAGTTGCCCTGACCCTTGCGCCCGTTCTGAAAATTCCTGGGTGCCTAGAGCCGGGTCTGCTCGTCTCGTCTCGACTCGTCTGCAGCGGGCGCAGCAACCTCATGCCATTCGCCAGTCAACATATCACGGCTGTTCAAACTCCCTGGCCGCGAGTCTCCTTCTCATGGAGAGGGATTACACAGACTCGGTTGCGCATGATACTTTTGCACACACATATGGCACCAAAATGATGGCCTGCAACGCACTCAACATTCCCATTCATCCTCCGGGTGATCTGCTGCTTTCCAGGACAATGGCTCTGTTGTGTGGCGGCGTGTTTGGCTTCGCCCGCTTGCATGGAGTGCACGCAGCTTCGCTGGGCAGCCTGCCACAGCGCCCTTTGAAAGTGTGATCAATTTCACCTATACTTAGGTGCACTTGCGTGCAAATCAGCCCAACGGGTCTGGGTACGGTGGTCAGGATTGGGTGCTCGTGTTGACCTAGAAACAGTTCTATCCGTCGCACCTTGCCAGCTATGCCGGTGCGCGTACAAGACACACAGGATCCATTACATTGCTGTGGCCATACTTGGCACAGTGGGTGCTGTGTTGCACCGCTTGCCACCAAGTCGCCACCCGAGTGCCGCTTGGTGCACTCGCGAAATCCTCGAAGCGCCGACAGGATTGCGATCTAACAGCATGTGCCGCACGTCGATTGTGTTTACTCGATTAAGCTCATTGTTTTCAAACAGTAGGACTCTATAACACAGCGGAAGACGCTGTGGCCGGCCTGGGTGTGTTCAGCGATGAGGCTGGGCAGTAAGCCTGCTATTGGAGCGAGTACCATGAGGCTTGGCACTCACGTTTGCAGGGCTGCCCTGCGCCGCGGTGTCGTTCGGACGCTCCAGGCGCACAGTGCAGGCAAGTGTGCCACTCGTTCAGGTGGAGGCGTGCATGGGATGTGCGCGGATTGACAGTACCTTATAAATGCCATCCCGCATCAATGTATTGCGCTGCAGGGGCCATTGCAGCACCCGGCTATGGCACGGGCATCCGTGGCGCAGTGCGCTGCTACGCTGCTGCAGGTGCGTGGCAATCAGTGGGTGGCCCGTCTTCAGGACATCAGCGTACCAAGCCCGTGCAAGCCGCAACCCCTCAACCAATACCGTCCCACCGCAGACGTGACAGCTGTGGTAGGGGCCGCGGCGGTGCAGCAGCAGGCGTCGACGCCCGCCCCACCAAAGCTGGTAGGTGCAGGCCGGGCACACGCAGGGTGCAGCTGGCACAGTCCAGTGCAGCTGCGGGCCACCAGCAGCGGGTGCAAGAGCGCAAACAGCCGATTGACTCCAGCTTCCCCGAACCCTCGACTACCTCGCAGCATGCCCACCCCTGACTGTCGCACGCACCCGCTGCGCCCCTGCTCCGCCCCTCGTCCTCGCTGTATTCCGCAGTCCGGCGGCGAGGTCCGGGAGCGCTTCCTGGCGTTTTTCGAGGGCAAGGGCCACACGCGGCTGCCCAGCAGCAGCCTGGTGCCGGAGGACCCCACAGTGCTGCTCACCATCGCAGGTCAGTGCTGAAGGGGGCCGGTGGGCGTGAGTGCTGAAGGGGGCTGGCACAGGGCAGGGGCAGGAGGGCAAGGGGCAACTTGTGCAAGTGCAGGCAGGGGACATGGATGAGATGCAAAGAGCTCAATTAAATTCGCATGAAGCAGCATGGCCAGTCGGAGAATCAAGGCGCCCGCGCACCTGAGGCCCGTTCGGGCATGCGGGTGCTGTTGTGTGTACGCGCCCCGCGGCGGCGCCCACCGCTTGGGGCGGGTGGGGCGCGGGAGGTGGCGCGTGAGACGTGAGCGCGGCGGCCCGCATGGCAGGGCAGCAGTGGACTGCACAGCAGCAAGCGCACCGCAGCGCCGCGCCGGCAGCCGGCAGCTCAGCTGGAGGAGGCGGGCCTGCACCGGCAGGCCTCCCGCCCACCCGGAGTCCCCGGCCTCGCGCTGAGCTCGAGGATCCCCCCACGCACGCGTTTGCGCGCCGCCCAGGCATGCTCCAGTTCAAGCCGGTGTTCCTGGGCCAGACGCCCCGCAAGGTGCCGCGCGCCACGACGACGCAGAAGTGCGTGCGCACCAACGACATCGAGAACGTGGGCGTCACCGCGCGACACCACACGTTCTTCGAGATGCTGGGGAACTTCAGCTTTGGGGACTACTTCAAAACGGAGGTGGGGTGCTGGCACCCAGGCGCTGCTAGTCTGGGGCGGGTGCGGGGGCCGCGCGTTTGTGCGTGCGGGTGCTGGAAGGTTTGGGGCGGCCGGCGAGCTGCTTGGCCAAGGCAGCTGCCGCTTTTCCTGCACAGGCGAGTCCGCCGCAAGCAGGCGGCCGCGGTCTAGGGG